TATGAAGGCCCTGATAGCACACCTCGAGCCCGGAAGGCTCAGGATCGGGGTTTACGCTTTAGGGTTTCCGGCAGGATTACATTGCAAAGTGCTACAAGCCCTGTATGGGTAGAAGGCCTTAGAGGTCATAAGCTTCATCAGACTATGACCGTTACATGGAGGGTCGCGGAATAAGTAGGTAGTAAGTAGATGTATAAGTATACCCTAAAGGGAATCCTAATTACCAACTAAGTTCAACGACTCCATTACTTGGCTTACTTCTGAACCACTCCTCAAAGTCAAAATTTTGGCCTCCTTGTTCTGGTTCATATACAAACCCAAAAAGTTAAAGTCCTGAGAGCCAACCAGAAGAACGCCAAGATTATGTAAGCATTCCAAGGTCCTCGGACGTAATATAGGGGCCTTACCAAATAGAATAGGGTTTTGGGGGCAGATAAAACAATAACTATGATAAGGAGCCCCAAAAATATAGATAATTGCCCTGAGGGTCCTAACACTTCGGGGAACCTCAAAGTGTAGGAGTTCTGAGACCCCAAAAGAGACCCAAGGGCTCTCCCTAAGAGATTCCGGACCCTCCTAAGGAGATACCTGGACCCTTAGGGTATTCAGGCCCGTATATTAAGCGTTCCAAGATCATCGGACGTAGGGGTTCAGGATGCTTCAACGGATCCAGGGGCTGCGAAATCTTGCAAACCAATCCCAGAATCACCCGCATTTAAACCTAAACCCTAAACCCTAAACCCAAAGCCCTAAGCCCTAAATCCCTAAACCCTGAAACCCTAGATCTTCAAAGTCAGGGAGCGTGAGGTCAATGCTCCTGGACAGGCCGCGGCTGTGTGGAGCGTTGTGTTTCGTACGGTTGAAAAACAAATCCTGCAGGACCTTAAGGGCCGTAAACTGTGGGAATTGTGGTCTATTCCTTATGGTGGGTCATGCAGGATTTACATCATCAACCGTATCAAGCCCGATGGGTCCAAAAAAAAACCTCCTCAAAAGGGTGCCTCTACGGGTTGTATAAGGGTTCCATAAATGCAGATAGAGTTCCTTTAAGCGTTTTTAAGGGTCCAAAGAGCCCAAAGAGCCCAATAATTCGGCACCTGGGTTTAGGATAGTATTTTGAGGCTAGTCTGTCGGAGGTTACTTGGAGGGTCGGGGGACTTAGTAAATAGGTCATAAGAAGAGTTACAAGTACCCTAAAAGGGATCCTAATTGGGGTTATGGTACTTGTAAGTCCCCAAAATAACTAGATACTAAGTTCCCCGACCCTTCAAGGAAACTCCAAACCCTAAACCCCCTAAACCCTAAAGACCCCTTGTAGAGCCCTTTAAAGGAACCCTTAAAGGAACCCTAGAGCCCTTTAAAGGTACCCTTAAAGGAACCCTAGGGCCCTTTAAAGGAACCCTTAAAGGAACCCTAGAGCCCTTTAAAGGAACCCTAGAGCCCCAAAACACTAAGGGAAGGTCCCTGGCTCCCAAACGAGCAGCCATACCCGCCCTAACTTTGCTCAGCCACTTGGAGGTTCCTGGGTAGTGCTCTTGGTCCGTAGAGTCTGGGCACCCCAAACCCTAAGAAACTTTCTGCTGGGAGGTAATTTAACGGCCTTACGAATTAGAATAGGGTCTTGGTGTATCCTATACTATGACTATAATGGGGGACTCCAAAATACGGTCGAAGATATAAATCCTGCAATAACCAGAATAAGGAATGTACCATAATTCCCATAGCTTAGGGTCCTTAACATAGTGCAGGATTTATATCATCAACAGTAGGTCCCCTAATGTGGGTTAGATATAAGTATAGTTACCCCACTTATAACCACCCATGAACCTCCAAGTATAGAACGACAAGAATGAGGAAGGCCGATCGCTACTGGAGATCGTCGCAGTCCGATTCGGACATCCCTGCATGAACAGAGCTAAGGACAACTAAACATATGGGTGGCTGTCAAGGCTAGGATTCCTTTTATGGTCCGGTCCTTAAAAAACTACGGCACCTACGATTTAGGGTACCCAAAAAGGGACTCTAATTTTGACAACCACCCATATCTTAGCTTGCTAGCACCCGCTTTGTTGTATACTGTCCGAAGCTAAGTCCCACACGCAGCGTGGCGAAACCCGCAACAGAATAGGTTCCAGTTGGTTGGGGTAACCGAGGGTGAGCAAAAAACAGTGTGAGGTTTAGGGTCGTCAGTTTGAAGGCTCAGGCTTTAGGGTTTCAGTTGGACCTACAACATAAAGCGCCAACTCCTTTGAAGCCCTGTACTCTAAATCCCACGTCGAAACCCTCAGATTAAAGCCCTGTGCGCTAAATCCTACATCGAAAAAGCAGCGCCTCAACGACCTTACTTAAACCCCGTAAGGACTAAACGGTTTTGGCCCTCTTTCTAAACCCTCAACCCCTACACCATCAACCCCAAACCGAACACTAAACCCTAAACCTCAACTAAACCCTAAACTCTAAACCCTAAACCCCAAACTCTAAACCCTAAACCCTAACTCAACCCTAAACCCTTAAAGGCTCTTCCGAGGTGCCCCTCGCGCTTGTCCAGGAGATCGGAGACCTCCGAGCGCAACGACACCGCCGCCTCCCGGAGTCGGCGCTCGCGTTTCCATGAGGAGCTAGGGTTTAGGGTTTAGGGTTTAATGTTCAGGGTTTAGGGCATAGGGTTTAGGGCTTAGGGTTTAGGGTTTAATGTTCAGGGTTTAGGGCTTAGGGTTTAGGGTTTAATGTTCAGGGTTTAGGGCTTAGGGTTTAGGGTTTAAGGTTTAGGGTTTAGGGTTTCTTAGTGGCTGAATTCATAAGCCCCAGAAAGTGTACACTTTCAGTCTTATAGTGGGTAGTATTATCCCAAGTGTAAAGTGTATCCACTTAGAGCTCCAAAACCCTGCTACAAGGGCCTTGAGAGTTTTGGGGACCATTCTACTATAAATACAACACACAAAAATAAGGAACGCCCCCAAAATAACATCCTATACCCTGATGAGTTCTCCGAGGGTTCTATGAGGGCTCTTCTCGGAGGAATTCTATCTACTGAATTCTTCGAGGGTTCTGTAGGGGGTTCTATCTAATGGGCTGGTCAGGGGTTCTATGAGGGCAAGGCTCTATTGAGTTTAGGTTTTATGGCGGCTTAGGGGCTTAGGGTTTGAACAGGGTTTAGGGCTCGTTGAGCATTCTATAAGGGCTGCAGAAAGTGCTCTTTTCTCTGGGTAGTTCGAAAAACGGTCTGTAAATCACTGGGGCTCTATAAGGGGATTTATACGGGTTATTGAGCTTGTATAAGGGGATCATAGGGGATCTATCTGCATTCAGAGTTTGATTTTGGCCTGAGCCCTAAACCCTAAAACCCTAAATCCCCAAAAACCCTAAACCCGAAACTTTCGCGCCTGCTGTACGGCTGCTCGCACGTCTCGCAGGATCTCCTACTACAGAAACTGGCCGTAAGGGGTGAGGTTTTCTTAGGGGGCAAGGTCCGTAAATCGTAAATCCTTCGGGCTCTGGCAGATACAGCATCGTCGATGTGGTTCAAGCACTGAATCAGTCTAGGTGAAGGCCCAAAGATACTACGAAGAAAGTCCTTCCGGGCTTGGGCATGCCAGTTTTCATCAGGAAGGGGTTGCAGAGTTTCAGAAGAAAGGTCGCTGTCAAAACAACTCCTGCAAACCGCTCTAAACCCGCTGAACAACACAACCCGAATCCTCGAATCTCGAACCCTAGACTCTAACACCTCATTGCAAGGGCCTTTAGAGCTAAAACTTGTGGTTTTGGTGTATATCACACTCTGTTTCAGCCTGGAAACCTTTGAAGATAAGTATTCTGCATTATGGCCCACTCTGCAAGCCCGAAAAGCCTGGAAGCTTCCATGAAAACACACGTGTTTCACACGCTAAGACCCTCAAGCTGCAAACCTCAATCCTTTAACCCTACCCTAAGGGTCCAAGTACCCAAATGGTAGGATTTCAAGGTCCAAAAACCATTCAGAGCATGGGTTTGGGGACCTGAAACCCTTTGGGTACTTGGACCCTCTGGGCTATACCCTGAAGCACCCTAAACCCCGGAACATCCAATCTCCAAAACCCCCCACACCCGAGCCCTGCCTCCCACGCCTTCCACCCTACATGGGAGCTTCCGGAAAATTAAGTTAAGGGTGCCTCATTTTGGGGTCCGTATAAAAAGTATCCTACTAAACAGAGTACTATGTTCGGGCCACTTATTTTCGGAAACGCCTATGTTGGAAAACCCTCACAACCCCAGCCCGGAGGGTTCAAATATCATGCTACCATGATGGAGGTAAGGCCCAAAGGACTTACAAATTCCGGGGCCCTACCCGCAACCCTAAACCTAAACAGCAAACACTAAACCTGAAGCCCTAAACCCTAAATCCAAAACCCCAAACACTAAACCTCAAGCCCCAAACCCCAAAACCCAAAACCTTTAGGTTTCGGGGACCCAGTCCCAAAAATATTAGCATTTGGGAGTTTCCGAAAATAGGGAACTCAAATATAGTACCCTACATAGAGTAGAATCCTTTTTTTGTAAGGACCCCTAAATAAGGCACACCCAGTTATCGATAAGGTACACCCAGTTATCGGAAACTCCAAACCCTAAGCCGTTTACAGAACCCTTATGGATCCCTGTAAGGACCCTACAGGATCCTTTCAAAAAACTTTCAGATCCGAATATTCCCCCCTTTGGCATTGGAGCAATTCTGCAGGAAGTTCCATGGGGAAGAAACCTCCGCCATCTCTCACGCAGCAATCACTAATGCTCGCGACACCTTCGTCGAGCTTGTCAAGCTTGCGAACATCAGTCACCCCAGCGGGCGTCTCGCCACTCTTGGTTGCTATTGCCCGCTGGTGGCTCTCCCAAGGATACAAAAGGGTCCCCGACAGTTTCTGCGGAATGGGGATTCCTACAAGAAGTGAACGGCGAGCACACTCGACAGGAAGCAGAAACCCGCATGAGCAACCTCGTGTCGCCTGTAGATATGGCAGGAACCCAGGTCAGGCACAGGCCTCCAGCAGCTCGTCGCCCACGGGCACGGCTCCACGGAATTGATAGGCATCGTACAAGATGTGGCGCTGGTTATAGATGTTTCCGTTGTTCCAGATGACGGGGGCTCGAGCCTCAGGTATGCGGCCGCGACGGCGAAATTAACAAGGCCAGACACAACATTCCATCCCCATGCTACGCGAAACGGTCCAGACACGTAGTCAGTAGAGGTACTGCCTCAATGCCCAATAAGGCCTGGCCGTCAAGCCAATCTGCTCCCGCCTGAAGGGTGAAATCGGCTTTGCCCTCTAGCACACCCTTCTTGCGCGCACTGGCGCCGAGTTCTAGAAACCGAAGACGTGCAAGCCGCCACACACCGCTCCTCATTGGTGGAAGCGCCTTCCTCCCAGCGATCCACCACGATGCGATCATCCCACGGACCAGTCCAGCTGGGCGTGAGAAGGAGCTGTAGGCGTGCATAGACGTCCGTCTTGCGGCGTAGGTTCTGGGATTTGTGATCAATATATAGGCGAGGCTGCGACGAGAGCTCTTTCCGAGTCCACGGCTCAGCGACTCCAGGATGAGTCGGGCAGATTGAGACGTGAGCAAGCCCTCAATGGAGTAGTAAATCTTGCCGCACTCGCGAGCACCAAAGGCGCGAAGCTGTGCCGACAATGATGCACCTTCGGCAAAGATGGAGACAGCATGAGTCAAGCCGAACAAACTAGTACCCAGAAGCAAGCGCCGGAGCGGCAACAGGGTCCAGTGCGCCTGGGTCTTCGACGAGCTTGGCAATCCTGAAGGGCTTGCTTGGAGAGGTGCCTAGCGTCGAGCAGTTTGCAGCACGACAAAACAGAGAGCAATGAACCTTGAAAAGCTTGCTTGACGCGCATTCAACAACGCAGTTAGCACTCTGTCACCACCAAGGACAAACGATGCCCAAGGCGCCGAAGTCGATGCCGTGGACTGGCTCGCCAAGCTCACGAGCGAAGCGGCAGTACCGCGGGTCCTCATCCTTCGAGGCCAGCACCAAATGTTTTCATACCACGTTGCAGCACGGGAAAATGCGGACTCTCTTCGCGCATTTGCCTTCGTTGCACCGGCCGGTCGGACCCGCAACAGTAGCATTCCGGTTTCGCTCCAACCCATGCATTAATACTTCCCGTAGACTTTTAAGCCCATGAGGCTTGACCCGTAACACACCTACACCCCTAAAACTCTAAGCCCCGACATACATCTTTGAAGCCTTAAACCCTCACCCCTACAAAGGCAACACGAGCTCGCCTCCGTGAGACTTTCCAACTTGTTCGCGAAACCTTTCTTGCAAAGGTCCAGCACCTCATCTTCCGTGGCGTTTTAAGGTTCAGGGCTTGGGTTAAATTTAGGGTTTAGGCTGTAGCGTGCAGGGTGTAGGGTGTAAAGTTTAGGGTTGCGGGCTTAAGGTTTCAAGGTAAAAGAGGGGCGCCTTAAGGGTGGTATCTTCTAGAAGCGTTATGGGAAGGAACAGCGTTTGTCTTAAGGGTTCAGAGTTCTAAGTTCTAGGGTTTGGGTTTCGGGATAGAAGATTTGAAGCTGTTACTTGTCGGTCAAGGGCTGAGGATTGAATGTCTAGGTTTAGGGTTCCCATAATGCTCCATGTACCCATATAGTAGGTACTTAGGCCTTAAAGTACCTATATAGGGACCCCTTCAAGGCCTAAGTACCTACTAAAACCTAAACCCTAAAGTACCCATATAACTAAGTAAGTACCTACTATATGAGTACATGGAGCCTTAGGGTTCGGGCTCGGGACTTAGCGCTTAGGGCTGATAGCTTCAGGCTAAAACTGGGTATCGGCCGTTTACAGTCTGAGATCTCCGAAAAAAAGGTTTAGGGTTTAGGGTTTAGGGTCTAGGGCTTGAGGGTTTAGGGTTTAGAGTCTAGGGTATGAGGCTCGAGGGTTTGGGGTTTGGGGGTTGAGGGGTTGAGGGGTTTAGGGGTTTATTTAGGGCTTAGGGTCTAGAAGGTCCTAGGGAAACCTTCCTGTTGTTGTAGAGGCTTCAACAACTCAACAACGACCGTTCCTGCAAAGGTCCAGCAGTCTCTATGGGCTGCGGTTTGTAGTACAGTAGACTTCATGGGTTTAGAATAGGCTTTTCAAGTTCATGCATGTGAAATTCAGGGTTACCTGAATGAGCACTTCATCTTGCACACCTTGTGCGCTGAAAGAGTAAGCGTCCTGAAACGTAGGAAGCTTCTGAATGGTGTGGGCGGGTGGGATTTCGAAATTTTCTGCCCACTCCGGACTTGAGCGGTAATGTTGCACATTCATGCTCACTCATGCACACAGCCAGACTTGTAGAAACAGTGTTCCCGTTGGCGGTTCCGTTTGTGCCCTGGCACGCATCGGCCATATGTTCACCGACGGCGGCATGGCCTACCTCGGCTGATGCCAGAAAGTTCCTGCGATTGGCGACATTTCCAGTGAACCGTTGAAATGGGAGGGATAACATCCTAAATTTCCTAAAGCCTTTCAAGCCTCCGATCCAAACCCCATGCCTAAACCTTAAGCCTTCAAAAATACAAAAAAAACTCTGAAGCTTGAAGCCTACAACCCAAACCCTAAACCATAGAGCTTGACTTCTAAACCGTCGATCGCAGATTGGACTGAAGGCTTTCAATCCCAAGCTCAGATCTTGACTGAACTCGAAATCCTACACCCTGCAGCTTGATGGGTCTTGTTAGGCCCTATCTAGGATGCCCAGTAAGCTAGGAATAAAAGGGCTCCCTTTCTGGTATTGGGTAAATTTATAAGGAACCTAGGACTACAAAAAGGGAATAAGGGTACTACTGGGCATCCTAGTTATAGGTCTCAGGGTTTAGGTTTGTTCGGCTTTGCAAGGTGGATCAGCGATGAACTTGTGGAGCTGAGGCTTTGATCTTTAGGGTTTAGGGTTTAGGGGTTTAGGGTTTATAAGGGGTTTAGGGGTTCAGGATTTAGGGTACCCTAAACCCTAAACCCTTGATCATAAGGCCTAGTACCAGGCTAAATCCGAACCTCCAAAGCCCCTGTCTACCGAGCCGCATCATGCCAGGCGCTTGTTGGCTGGTTGTTGCCTGCTTGGAGGATCATAGGACTTAGTAGGTAGGGTTCTAAGTACCCTAAATTGGGGTTAGAAGTAATTATAAGTATAGTTACCCTAATTATAACCCTAGTTACTAAGTCCCACGACCCTTTAAGTAGGGTGAAGTCTTGGAACTCTAATCGCATGTGTCAGGGTTTATAAGGGTGTTTGCAAGGGCTGTGCAAGGTGCTATGAGGCGCTTGTTGTGGTGCTTTATACTGGTGTATGGCTGTTTACAGTGTTCAACAAAGGAGCCCAACAACTAGAATAGGGTTCTGGGTCGTATCAGCATACCCAGAGACTCCAAAACCCCTTAATTAAGGAATATACCTTAAATTATAGTAGGGATCCTAATATGATTTAAGGTATATTCCTTAATTAAGGGGTTTTGGAGTCTCTGGGTAGTTACATAAGGGCTACAAGGGAATAGGTTCCTAAGCGTTCAGCCCCCTGCCTGAAGCCAGAAGAGCGATTTCCGGGTTTGTGGCTCAAAGGTTTCGGGGTCTAGGGTTTAGGGTTTAGGGTTTAGGGGTTTAGGGTTTAGGGTTTAGAGTTCTAGGGTATTTAAAGCATGAGGAACACGGTAAATTGAGTTTTGCATATTTCGACGGGATTCAATCGGTTCAGTACATTGGTCCAAGGGTTATTCCATTCCACTGTCAATGAGGTGAGGCAAGCAAGGGGCTTTAACAATCAAAGAAAGACTGTGGAATCCATGGTCGTCGATATACTTCATAGGGATCCTACTCCTTGAAGGTTTAGGGCTTGGGGGTTACGAGGCTCGTTTAGCCTTTGCCTTCCGAAGCTCAAGGGGCGAGCGTCTTGGAACTTACAAGTACCACTTGGCGTTTCAGCGCCTTGGGCCACGGCTTTCCCGTCACTCGGGCTGTGGGAATGTCGATTAGTTTTTGCGGCGTCTTCGCCTGAACCCTAAACCCCGAACCCCAAACCCTAAACCCTAAGACCCCAACACCCTAAACCCTAAAACCCTACATCTCAACACCCAAAACCCAAAACCCTACGGTCGGGATAGAACCAAGGCCGAGGAGTAACTAGGCCCACTCATCTACAGCATACGCCAAGTTCTCCGCAAAGCGATCCACGGTTGGTTATATAAATCCTGCATGACCCAGAATGAGGAATATGGGGTTTCCGCAAATTAGGGGTACCTCATTTTAGGGGTCCTTATAATAAGGATCCTACTATTTAGGGCACTCTAGTAGGCTCCCCTATTTTCAGAAACTCCCATATACCAAAACTCCCACAGTGTAGAGTCCTTGAGGTAATGCAGGATTTATATCATCAACCGCATGTCCGTGTTTGGGGTTAGGGTTCCCGGTACAGGATTCATTTTTTAGGTGTAACCTCAGTCAATGAAGGCGGCAATGTCGTCGGGTAAACCAGCCCACCCGACCCACCCCTACCCTCGAACCGGCGGCGTGGAAAGAAAGAGTCAAGCACAAGGCCGCGGGAAGGGACAGGGAAAGGACTACTGCGAGTCCCTGAAAATTCATTATCTCTGCAGTTACTGCGGGCATCGAAGGCTCCGTCCCAACACTTCCATCGCTCCGAATCGGGGCAAAAAAGCCGGGCCATTTCTGCAAGGCAAAGCACCTAGTCATATCCGTAAAACCCTCATACACTTACACCCTGAACCCTAAACACTCTAATCACTAGGGGCGCAGTCCCTTTCCCAAAGAAGCCGAAGCTTTCAACCACTGTTTAGGGCTTACGGTGCACTGACCTACCCAGTCAAAACGGCTACAGAATCCAAAACAACTTCTAGGCTGGCCCGCCCAACCACGAAGAAACATGGAACCACAAATTCGGTGATTAAGGTATAGATGTGCGGCCGTAAGCCCTATAAACCCGAAAACCCTAAAACCCTAAAGCCCTAAAACCCTAACACCCCAGTTTGGAGCCTTACAAAAAATAGGGTTCAGCAAGGTACTGAGAGCCGCGCCCTGAATCCTACGACACGAAGCCAAACCAAGACCCAAGCGACTTTCCCGTCTCTACTTGGAGGGTTGGGGGAGTGAGTAAGTAGGTAATAAGTAGAGTAAGAAGTGCCCTAAACGGCATCCTAAGTGGGTCGTGGTACTTATAAGTCTCTAGAATGCCTAGGTACTAGATACTAAGTCCCCCAACCCTCCGAGTAATCCCCTCCGACCGATACCC